GCACGCACGCACGCATGCACGCATGCACGCATGCACAGAGACCAAAAGCAATCCAGCCAACCAACTAATTAACTAATTAACTAACGAATGAACCATGCATTTCATGTTGTTTCCCATCCTCGCTGTCGAGGCTGAAGTAGTTCAAGCTTTCAGCCATGCGTACCCGGCATCCATAAGCAGCAGTTACATGACACTTGGCAAGGTTGATGGACATTTCCAAGCAGGCCGGGAGAACGATACATGTGTGACCCAAGCCGCAAGAAGCGAAGCCAGAATTGGTCTCTTGGCCTGCAGGGGTTTGCCATGAGCCTGCAGCACTTCGTCAACGTGGCGTTGGCGGCACCTTGTCCAAGAGGTATGTTAGGGGGACCCCACCGCCACCTATTTTTCCGCCGTGGGGGGCGGAGGAAATAGGTGAACATCTGTGCTTTGCGGCGTTTGTGCTCACCGCAAGCATCTCCAAACCTTGAACTCCAACTCTGCGCTGGATTTCGGCACTGCAGAACACGGAATAAATAGATGGGACTGCAGTGAATGCACGGGCGGGATTTGGGGGTTCGTGTATAAGGGGCCACAGGGTGCCCTCCCTTCTTTCCACTCAAACATGACTATATTGGTACAAGACTCTAACTGCACGAGACTCCATACCTAGGCACAACCACTGTCTCAAGATTCTGTTCTGATTGTTATGATTATAAGCACGATCTTATCGGGTATAGGATGTATGCAACGTACAGGTATGTGAGGCTTCATATGGTACACTACAGAACGTGGAGATTGGGGCTTGTGCATCAGGGGCCACGTAGACCGTGGGGTGTCCCACCTCCTTCCACTCCATTATGATTTTCATGGTATCAGACTCATTGCGCTAGACTCTAGACTTTATACTTGGGTACCTCAACTATGGGCTAAGTCTGTAAGACTCAAAAAGTCAGGGTAACAATTGAGGTGTCGTGTAGCCAGACGACGGAACTCCGCTCGTGTGGTTACGTTGACAGAGGGCGGTCTACACGGGTTCTGTAAAGGTGCCATAAAGGTTCTATAAAGGTACCATTAAGGGTTCTATAGAGGCATTATAAGGGTTCTATACAGGTGCTGGAAGGGTTCTATAAAGGTGCTATAGGGTTTTGAAGTGAATTTACGCCCCTTTCGTGTCAGGTCATCTTTGCCTCCACGGAGGGCATGGCTGGCGAATGCGTGTGGCGACCTGCCCAAGCTTTTGGGGGTTTAGGGTGAATGGGAGGACTTCTGCCGGTGCGGGTGTAGGTGTGAAGAAGTCGTTTAAGCATTGGACACTCCGGAGTTGATCTGACAGCAACAGCTGGAGAACTCGAGAAAGATAGACTATTATCTCAAAAGGCCTCCACCAAGCAGAAGGGAAGACCACAAGTTATGGACTGCAGCTATCGATCGCCAAACTTTAGCACTTAATGCACTCTGTCGCAAAGAGCAACTCCTGTCGAGGCCTCGTGCTCCATTCCGGTTCAAGTCTCCCTGGACATCAAACATGCTGCGAGGTACATTAGCAACTTTATGATCACCGTTGTGGGAGGTGCCTGTGTCGCATCCCATCGGCTACTGTCAGATATACAGTCTTCTCCACCTGCTGGTTGTGACTGGCCCAAGGACTTATTGTTCTGCTCCTTGGCAATAGTTGGTTGCACCCATGCTGTGCATATGTTTGGCCATGCCGCAATAGATTGCAGTGGCTAACAGAGAGCAGGTCTTTTTTGTAGGAGAGTCGAAGAGAATAGCTGGCTGAATCGAGGACACTTTGGATGCGATTTCATCGCATTGTCGTCGCCAGATACCAGTTGACATGGCTTCAGAGTGGAGAGTAACCTGGCAGCAGTTCAGTATGGTCGACCGGCGTCGCAATGAAAATAAGACATGCTTGACAGGTACGGCGACCCACCGAAGATTCCGATTTGGCTCGTGCCATGCTTAAGCTAAAAGCCTGCCTCGCGAGATTCAAGTTCAGTCCTCGGACTGAAGCCTACGAGGCGCAGACCACATATTGGGGTTTTGTCTGCTGTCTGGAAAAATTCACGGTGGCTGCTCGGCCGCAAGAAGCCACCACAGTTGAGCGAGAGCCCACCGACATCAGAGTAGTTTGTGGTCCTGATGGGATTTGGCTGTGGCAAGGCGGGATTGGTCATCTACCCATTTCACCACCGCATCGATGCACTGATTGCTCCGCTTGAGACGCCCTTCAAGTCGTATCCCAAGACGGAGACTGCTGCTGAGAGCAAGCGATAGTTGCTAGTTGTACGTGACATTGATAAAATCCTAGTGACGCAGTGCTTGCCGTGGGGGCAGACCGAAACGGCTTCTGACAGATCTCTTTCCTGCGCCCTGAAGGAGCTCGTCCTTGTCATGGTCGTTGCCCCTAGTGTTCTCAATCCGATTTGGTCGTGGATCATTGACAATCTTGTCAAGGACTTGCCCCGGGCCACTCGTTACGAGTTGCAGTGCCGTGCAGTGCTTTCGAGTGTAAACTCGCCAGGACCCGCGCTATGGTCGCGACGACATACAACAAGAAGAGCCCCTGAAGCACAGTCACTATGGCACTGTTCAGTCGGAATGCTGAGCAAGTCTGCCTCGTGCATGCTCTTTCCTGGCACCTGCTTTAGCTGGTGTGGCTTCCATACAGCTCCTTGCGCTGGGTTCCTGTACAAATTGACGCGAAGATCGTTCATGCCTCCAGATGAGACAGGAACTCAGGCCACACGATTGTACAGTACTCAGCCGGCTTGCACATCAATGCTGTGCATAGTCACTGGGGCCTGCGTGAACTGACAAAAACGAAAGGAGCTGCACCTGCGTGTATGTGCCTGCGCTGGGCGGGCAGTGGGCAGGGCTCGGTGAGGGCAGGAATGCAGTTTTCGAGGCTACAGGGTGCATGAATGTGCATGACGTAAGGCGTCCCGCATATGCAAGAGGCGTCCCGCGAGGGGCGTCACCTTAGTAAATACAATAATTTCACATGTATTGGATCTTATCGTCTTAGTTACAAGGGCTTTTGACCGGATTGTGCTGGCCTGTAGTACAGCTTTAGTACCGGAAATGCGCCTCGCATCGCGCGCGCGCGTCCCCTTAGACAGCTGTTCCAACAAAACGTGATGTGACTTAGCTCTGCTGCTGTATGGAGTGTTTTGCGGTGAACAATGCGGGTTGCTGTGAAGGGCGTCTACTGGGCAATTCAGACATGTTTGATGCCTCGACAAAGACACTTTTGCAACGATTCCCTGCGCGACGCGAGCATTTCCCTGTCTTGGCACATATTTCAAAACATGATGTCGCGGACGCGTCACACTTGGGATTCACTTTGCCTGGGGTGCCTTTTGCAGATTGACGCGTCACACTGGGGTGGGCTGTCTTTTGCAGGGGTGGGGTGACTTAAGGCGCGCCTGCTCTAGGACCCTGAAGCGAGCACAGCTAGCCTGCAGCTCCACAGTGTGAGACCAGTGGTGTTTACAGAACGGGCATGAGTTTCCTAAGGTGGCCGTCCGCCATGATGCTGTACTGCCATACTTTACATCGTTTCGCGGCGTTCTCAGCGCATCTCAGCTCACCGGCACCGCAGCATGCTGCCTCTTTCAAGGCTTTGATGGCAGAGTGAGAGCTTTGGAGTTTGTTGTGGTAAGATGTTGCAAGAAGCCTTGAAGCTTGGTTACTGTTCTGACAACACGGTACTTTGCAGGGGCAGAGACAGGTGCCACATTCTTCGGATTGTGTCCAAGGACGACTTCGATCTGGAGTTCTGCCGAGAACTTCGCAGACAAGGCCGGGGAAGGCTGAGCTATCGTTAGATGCACACCACCACACGGCTACTCGAGATTTTGGGTGCTCCTCCATGCAGCCAGCAGGCCTTGTTTACGACATTGTGGCCGCAGCTGGAGCAGAGAGGAAAGAAGATGCTGGAGACGAGCTGGACCCGTTGGCAGACGACTGCGCCGGTTTCCTGCAGGACGGCCGCCTGTCTTCTTTGTTGTACCGGCTTGCAGCTTCGGCCAGTGAGGAACTGTTTCCGGAGAAGCGCATCGTTGTCTTTCACATTCACCTGCCACATCAGCCGGGGCTTTACTGCAAACTTGTACAAGCCAGTTTCTCGTAGAGCCGCGGCTGTGAGGTTTGCAAACGACGGATGCCTGACGTGGTCGGCCAGTTTGGCAAGGAGTCATGCACTCTAGGTCAAAACAACGTGCAGTTCTTCGGTTGAATTTGCGGTACTTATTCATGTCAAGGCCAGGTCTAGGATCATGCATGCAGACTCCAGCCTACTCTGCAGCTTTTCTCGCACAAAAAAGCAGGAGTGTACCTCCGGTAGCAGACAGGCGTGCGACCTCAGCTTTTATGCATCCAGCGAAGACGGTAAGATCGTGTTGACGAGCTCGGCATGAAACGACGTAAATTCGCCGCGATGACTATCGGAGGGATGTGCCGCCACAGCACAACCTGCAGGCTTCACATGGCAAGGTAACAACATTGCACTGCCTTGGAAGGGCAGGAACGACTGAATATCAGGCAAAAAGTCACATTTCAGATGCAGGCCGAAAAGGGAGCTTAAGTGAGCGGACTGGCTCATGCGATGAATCATGTGTACAACCCACTGAGAACACATGCGGGCTTAGATTCGTCCACGAAAGCAAGCCCTTTTATCCGAGATTTTGGTCTGGCACGCATGCGGCGTTCCGGCCATGGGAAAGCCCAGGGAGCTATGCAGCCAGCATGTTTTTTGGTTCCTTTGCCCCTTGCGAGCGAAACACACATAAACACACGAAGCGCAACTCAGGGGATGGGTGCCCATGATGCAGCTTTACAATACACATCGAAGCCCAGTGCAGCACAGTTGCACAGCGTCACAGCAGAAAAAGCTGTGCCTAGGATCGACGAGCCCAGCGTTCAGAGCTGCCGAGATCGAGAAGGCGACACGCTCAGGGTGGTGCGGGTGGTGCTGTGATTGCGGCTGCTGGTGCTGCAGCAAAACTTCTTGTATCTGGAGGCAGCGACGACGTTGTCAAGGCAGCTCCCGGCATGACTGCAACTACCTGCGAGTCTAGAACGGCTGTGACCTTATGAGAGTCCTTCGTCGGTGTTCCTGCGAGGTGGGTCGGGTAAGCATCTTCCTTCCGGTCGAGGCAGCCGGCATACATGCTCACATTGGTACCCAGGATTAGAGAGCATGTTTTTCTACCAAAGGTTCATGTTGATGTCGAGTCTAGCCAGCACGACGAATATTGCAAACCTTCCATTTCTCGTGCTTTATCTACATGTGTTTATACGTTTCTTAGGTTCCCCTGTTTGTGTGTGCTGCATGTACCTCTGGCCACTTCGTGTGAGACGTAGTTAGTTGTTTGCTTCGGATCAGTCAGCATGGCCACTTGTCACCAGACCCCACACACACACACACACACAAACACACACACACACACACAGCACATTCGGCCTTTGTTCTTTCCCACTGGGCCACCTCAGCTTCAGCTTTTGAAACGCAGTCATGCTTGCTGATTATTCTTGCTGCTATTTGCTCGGTTGCCTCTGTGTTTGCACGACCGTGTGTCTGCATGTTAGTGTACTGCACTTGTTGGCTAGCTGTCTGGCTGTGCTTGTCTCTGCGTTTCTCTGCCTCAGAAAGCATGCTTGCATGCATGCATACAAAATTATAATGAAGCCAACCCCGCATCAGATATCATGCACCAAAAAAGCTGTCCCAGGGCATGTCTGATCTCAAATCTCCGATCCGTGACCGGTTTCAGTACAGATACAAATACTTAAATTTTATTGAAGCCAGCCGGGGACCAGAGATGAGAGATGCCATGCGACTTATAACTTTTTCGGTAAATCTCTAGTCCCAGGACGATTTCAACATGCTATACTGAAGCATACTGAAACAAGCCAGGTACCAGAGACACCCGCAAAAACGTTCAGGTGACATGTGAAATCTTTGATCTCTAGTCTCCCGCGAGTTTCAGTACAAATACTGATGTACATTGAAACCCAGCTAGGACCAAGAACGTTTGCGACGAAAGCTTTGGTATAGAGGCTGGTTTTTGGTGCATGTAGGCTCTGTGCATGCCTGCATTCATACGTGGTGCATGTTTCTTTCTGTGTGGGTATACTCATGTGTGCACGTAAGTCGCACGTACTCTGTTGATGTGTGTGTGTGTGTAATTGTGTCTCTGTCTGTTTGTCTGTCTGTCTTTTTACCCTATAAGAGTGAAGCCGTGCGGGTTGGTTTCTATGGGGTTCGGCTACTGCTACAACCAAGCCTTTCTGCAGCCCTGGTAGGGCATGGAGGACCGTGAGCTACCAAGCGGAGAAGACGGTGTGGTCATCAGGCAACGCTGCAACGTGTTTGGTGGAGGGAACTTTGTGATTTTCTTGCAATGGCCACAACTGTCACCAAAATGCCTGGGGTTCAAATGTCAGAGCTAGCATGTTCGCGTCCATGTACAAAGGCAAGTGGTCGGCTTCAGCATTCCCCAGCCAAACAACCTGCTGAAACGCATAAGCAAAGCAACAAAAGTCTCCGTCAGCTCCGTTCTACTGCACAGCTCGACTTGGCCGTTGTACGTGTTATCCAAGACAACAGCTGCAGGGAACAAGACTGCACTTACATATCGCCCGGACCCATTGAAGCATTTCAGCTGCACCCTGACATGGGCCTGTTCCAATATTTGGATAAAGCCAGCCGGTGTGTCAGCACATGATGTCGTGTTTGTCTGCCCGCCTGTGTATGAAGGTGGGGCAAGTTGGGCAAGAGTGTTGTCGGGGCGAAACCCAGGTGGACACGCATGACAGGGCCAGGTGGGATGGGTGGAGCACGGATAAGACAAGACTAGGCAAGCTTGCCCTCAGGTGGCTGACGAGATTTGGACTGTAGCAATCGTCGGGAAAGTGCAACAACTAGCCGAAACGGCACGAGATGCCGCTTACTGTCTCTCACAAAATGGAGCAGAGACGGCATGCTGTCAGGACAAGCTCTTCTCTTCTCTTTTATGTCAGGCTGCGAGCCTTGGGCCCTTTCGGATCCGGTCAGCATCCGACTACCGCCCTGGTGCTGCAAGCCATGCAGGACGCTTCAGTGGGCCAATTGTTCTCACTTTCTAGAAAGTGGACCTCCGGGTCAGAGCAACTTGAGCAAGCTACTCGGAGGACTTGGACTGGGCCAACATCCCTACCGTGTGCGTCGCGCATCTTTGTTTGGAGTTTTTGGGTCATCGATTGTCTCCAGCTGGTCCATGTTGCTTCTTCCTACACACTACCTGTAGTGAGGGCTCAGCAGCTTGCCAACAAAAAGGCCCACGAGCAGAATTTGTTAAGGACTACGGCTGTGGAAGTGGCGTTCTGGGTCTGGTTGCTCTTGGGCCGATGCCCGAGAGATGTTCACTGCATAACACTTCGTGCATGTGTTTTCAAGGGGTCCTCGTGCAGTTCTTTAAAGTCTTTTAGGGTGCTAGAAAGGTTACGGCAAGCGTTCGAGAAGGGTGTTCGGGGCCTGTATACAATTGGAACAGAGTTGTGGGATGTTGCTGATATGCTCATCCAGTTGTTGGGCTGTGCGGTTATAGGAGACCGTTCCGGGGCAATCGCTTGAACAGGCTGCCATGCAAGTGAAAGCCTTAGACCTGAAAATCAACAACAATGTTACCACAATGAAAGCCGTGGAGGCCCAAAATGAATACTCAGTTCGTCAGTGCTCGAGCTTCATTTGCAGACGATATTGTGCAGGTTCCTCATCTCGAAAAAAACATGACCAGGCTAGGACAATGGAGAGACACCAGAAACGAATGCCCGAGCACGAATCGCCTTACAAAATGATACCAAAGCACAGAGACTTGACCACGCAGAGGTCAGCGAAATCCACTAGTGCCACTGCATTCTTGCTGAGGCTGGGGGCGAGGCAGTGCCTCGGGGCATCCCACTTAGAAGTCGAAATCACGATGCTTTCCGCACTCATGGGGGCGGTTTCAGAATCCTATACGTGAGGTGGACAATGTGCCAGATGCTCTAACAGCAGCCCATGAGAACCTCAAGGCGAACCTGCCGAGCATCTCGGCTGGAATGCAGCGTGTCTCCAGAGATGCACAGGACATGTAAAGAATTCCGACAGGGAGACATTCCGTGAGGTAACATGACGTACACTAGTACAGGGCGTTGCCGTTTGCACCGAAGCATGTTGCCAGCTCTTAGCACAAAAAGCCGTTGCTCAGGACTCAAACGCGCCAATGGCGATGAACCGCGAATGCAATTGCACTTGCCACCGAAGGCAACTTGGCTCAGATGTATACTGGGAGAAGATGCACCGTCAATGTAACAGTCCAATAAGCAGGAGATGTTGGACAAGGACCTCGACTTCTACACACGGCACGGTCAGCTCCCCCACATGAGAGTATTCGAATTCGTTCGACCGGGTGGCACTGCCCGATTATTGCAAGGTGATTGGCGGCACTCCATGACATTGCAGGGCTGGACACCTGTGGAAGTGACCGAGGCAGTGCCTTGTCGAACCTCCCTGTATACACGTCCGAAGTAGAGAGACTGCGTCTGTTTGCGAAGGGCTCCTTCGATTTGGTGGTTGCAAACATTGTGATCGGCCCGTCGCCTCCTCATCGCCGATAAAGACGTCAGCTGCCGCCTTCTGCATGCGTCGGAGACAGCTCTGAGCCCGAGGCTCTGCCAGTCGGCGCCCATGGTAAAACGCTTGCTGCGCGCAGGTGGCCAGGCCGGCCTTGCGAGACTCCAAACACAGAGCACACGCAGATGGGAATGCAGTGACTCGCCAATGGTCAGGTCCTTCTTGCGGGGATGAGAGAGTTCCAGGTCAAGCAAGGTGACGAGGCCGAGCCTCAAGACCTCAGTCGAGTAGAAGAAGGGCATATTACAAAATAGAATTAGAGCATAAAGAGAAAAGCTGTGCGACCAGAACAGGCTCAATCGCATGCTGTGCTGATCACTGCGGTTCGGAGAATGTTCATCAGAGCTCATCATGGTACGTCACCGACACAGCTTCCGGCGAAAGCTTTCCATGCTACCACGGCGCCGGTAGATGATAGTGGCGTTGGACACCGAGCGACTGTTCACTGGAACGTGGCTGGTCGGGGCTATCGAACCTGACAGAGATGCTGATGAAAGTCGCAGATTACACTAGCATTGTCACAAAGCGTGTTCGGGTGGAATGCTCTGCTTCAACGTTCCTTGCTGTTGTGTTGAATCTGCACATCGCCAGCGAGAAGTGGAGGATGCACAGCGACATTTTCCGCTGCCCCGTATCGCCACAAAGTTTCAGACCAGACCGGAAGTCCCAAGCCTCAAGCCCTGCCTTCGCCTAAAGCACGGGTTCGAGAAGTCTGAACTAGTCTGCAACCGACCCAATGATTTGCTTCCTTGGAATTCAGCTTGCTTGTAAAGTGCGCTGACTCGGAAGTCGTGAACCTCGTTCGGAAGCTCTGGCTACCGCCGTCCCTGAGCCCGCAGCAACAAGCAAAACAGCCCGGGTGATTTTGGAGAGTGATTACCGCTGCTGAAGCAAGACCACGCACAGCAGTACTGTTAACACAACCATGGCGAGCGAAAGCTGTAGAAACAAACGGCCCTTTACGGCTATCCGGCTTCAAGATGCGACTGCCTTCGCAAAGAGAGCTGCAGTTCGTTGCTCGTTTGAAACGTTGGCCGGGGACAGGCAACCGAGAAGAGCCAAGATCCAGGACAGCACTGAAATTCAGAAAGCTGTCAAGCCCCCGCAATAGGATCACCGACATTCAGCACGGAACCGCCAAGACCTAGGCATGCGCAGCAGGCAACGAGCAAGAGCTGGTGCTTAGCATCTGCACGGAGATCAAGACCCCACGGCCCCGGCCCTGTTGATTCCTGTTGATGTTAAGTTTCTGTTTCCGGGCGTTAGACGCTCAAACCTGCGCTTCACAAGTCCTAAGTTCGCTCTTCTGTTGGAGGCACAAGGTGTGGCTCGAATCTGGGGTCCCAGCAACGGCGAGCCACCAGATGCCCTTTGCGAAAAGCTTCCGAAAAAGTCCCAGCCCACCAGCATGTGGCTCCGGGCTCACAACGTCAACGAAAGATATTTGCTCAACCATAGCTGGGTCACTACACGGTGTGGACTTAGAGTGACAAATTTAGTGCACACACCTGAAAATGCAGGCGTGATGAAACTAAGTTCTGCAAACAAAAACTGTGACTTTCATGCTGTCTCTGTTGCAAGCCAGCTACATACAATCGCTGAGTTCGTAAAAAGTTCATTTTCGACAAGACAAGTGCGCAGGCTTACGGCCAAGACTTTGACTTGAAGGCAGCAGCAGCCGCACGGTTCATGATGTCCGTGCGTCGCGGTGAGCCGAAGAGACTTTGGACCAAGATCCTTCTGTGCAGGTCATAAACACCTTGGATGGATGGGCACTCGTGCATGGTCTGCGCGGGACCCGACACCCTGGGCCGAATTGCAGGGATGAGTGAAAGCGTGGCTACGTAAGAGTTGCGATTATCGCTAACGGCTTTTGCCATATTACGTTGCCTATGCGGATGAGGCTGCGCAGACCGTGTCGCGACGAGGAGTGCAGCCTGATGCAAGATGATGCAAGAGCTGGTTTCAAACAAAATACGCGCTGCATTTGCCCTGACACTGCACATGGGTGCATAGTCACCTTGTGACACATTGACATGCTGCTATCGCTGCATAGCACTGAATAACACCACTCTTCTCGAACGGAGTCAAGACCTCATCAGCCATGTACCGTGCGACAACTGCTTCACGATCAAAGCTTGAGGCAAGACTTCATTATCCCCCTGCTGTCCGAGACCACATTTAGTTGCATGTCCCAGAAAGCAGAAGCTTAGAGCTCAGATGTCCGTGCTAGCCTCCGGCATTGATCTCTGCTGCTTTCGGCGGCCTTCCGCACCTCCAGCACCTCCACCGCCAGGCACAGTCTGCCCGATGGACAGGCTAGTGCGGCTAGTGACTGCTAGTGACGGTGACAGGCGCACGTCCATTGCCGGAGAAAGCCGTGCCACCGAATGTTGCAGCACATGCAGGCTTGGCGCTTGATGTTGCGTGCGGAGTGCCGTGCACTTTGCACTGCCCATATCAACAGGGCTGGACACACCCTCCACAGTGGCCGACGAAGAGAAGCAGCAACATGAAGAGGCACTTGCTGTGCTTGCCCTCCCCGTTTCTTGAAGATGTTGGTGTGGTTGTTGGAGATTGTAGGTCGGAGTTCTGTGCCGTCACTAGCAGTTCACGTGCTCGTACCGTCCATCCTTAAGAGGTTGAGTCTTGTGTCTCGCACAGATCCGATTGTCCAGATGCAAGAGCCGTCGCAGTGCACCCTTGCAGTCATGAAGCATCGCTTCAAGTTTGGAGTCCCGTGTGTGCCGAAGGCAGTGCCAGACTCACCGTCTTCGAAAGGCTTTCTCGCAAGTGAACATTGCTGTCTGGAACATGAATTCGCCATCTAAGACATCAAAGACTGTCCTGTGAGCAGCGTGGCAGATGAGATCGTCGCCCTTGCAGTCGTGTTGCCCTGCACAGGCCCGAAAGGTGGCAAAGGACCTGGCAAGGGGCCAGGCAAAGGACAAGCAAAAGGCGTCACTTGCAAGCCTGTTTGCAGCAGAGTTTTTGCATGCATCGATCTTCATCATAGCAGGCGGCAAAGCGCCAGAACCCGCCATGACGTACAAGCAGAAGCAAGAGGCAGAGCTGGCCGCCAAGGCGGGATCTTTGATTCGGCGCTCTGAGGCTGCCAGTCAGCGGCGGCAGACTGCTCGTAACAGCCGCATTTTGGGGGTTCCACTTCGGGGTCCGATTGAAACTCTTCCCCCTTCGGGCAATGCTGTGGGAGCTCCAAGCCGTCGACAGCGACGAGACTAAATTGGGCTCCCAATGCTTTGCATGCGCATGTTTGGGGCAACTCGTCGGGCCTCCCGCAAGAAAGAGGAAGGTTGCCAAGCTGGGCTGAGCTGGATGTTTCGGGGATGCGTCTCTGCACGGGAAGACCTTGCGAGGAGCCCGAAGCCTTGCCCGGCAGTGTGAATGATGAGTGGATCAACCAACAACCTGCTAGAGCAAAACATGCCATGTGGCAGCTCTGAGTGGGATGTCCCAGCCTGCACCCTGGGGGATCCGAGCCCCACAACCCAGGAAAGCTGGCACCGAGGGGGTGGGAGCAGGGACAGATGGCTTTGCTTCAGCCCTGTTGCGATTTGTTGAGCGAGGACTCGTCACGTTCAGTCGAACCTTCGAAAGTAGGTTTTCCTGGGATCGGTTTGTGCATGCTTGTGCCGTGCAGATGCTGAGACTGACGAAAGTGTAACATGAGTCTGGCGCGATTTGCCTACAGGAAGAAAGCCTTACTGCCCCGAATGGCTTCGCTGGGAAGGACAGCCCTCCATGTGTTGCAGACCACTGCGAAAAGTGCCCGCTGCACCAGGAGGTACTCTCTGACTGGGAATTGAAGGCTTCTTGGTTGAAGTCATAGGAGAAAGAAGCCGATGTGTCGAACCTCGACAACCTCATGTTCAATGTCCGTAAGTTCCAAGCCTTCAGTTTCATCCCGAAGATCTATCGATTGAGTCACCTCTTACTGTTCTACTGTAGCGTTTGCTCAAGGGTTTTATTGTTGGCTTGCATCGGGCTGCAGAACATGAAGCTCGGGCGAGATAGATCGGCAACGGCTTGACCGCAAGTTGTTGAGGTTCTCTGTGAAGGCATTGTCAGCATTCGAGGTTCTCGCGGGTGCAACCGACCAAGAGGAAGGACCGATTCTCGGTAGCAAGAGCTGTCCACAGGCCACACAGGTGAGTGATTTGAAATCTTTTGCAGCTGCCCTTCTTTGGCAAGTGTACTTTGAAGGTACTCGGGGCGGAAGTTCATGCCAACACGCGGCTATTTTGCTTGCGTAAGGTGCGGTTCAGCATCTCGGCCAAAGAGCTTTCTCTGCCCGATCTAGTTGCAGCATGTGCTCCGAAGGAAAATTTAAAAAGCTGTCTGACTGAAGCATGGGGCACCTTTCAGCATCGGTTCAATAGATGAGACCATGACAATGACAGGTACGCAACAGCGACAGGAAAATGCATTCTGCGCTGGGTTTGGTACCCCATGCTCTTGGTAAGCAAAACCTGCAAACGAGAGCCAGGCAGAAACAGATGCAACTTCATCTCGCCGTGCTTCCCAAAGAGTCTTGTGTGACAATCTCGGACTTGAGGCCTGTGTGAGTGGATTTCCCAGGAGGTGTGCACCCAAACAGACACATTTACACAGAGACACAGACAGACACGCCGGGACTGTTCTTGAATGCTAGCGGCTTTCCATTTTGGGATGGAAAATCCTCTGCTGGTTTTGTGCTAGAAATCCGATGCTTCTGCTTTCAGCCCACTCCGACTGGCGACCTCCTGATTTGGTCTGCGCGCTGTCTGGGAGGATCTTCAAGAGTGTCGGAGGGAGTGCTTCTCCGATGTCAGTTTGGGGCCATCTTTTCATACTGAGGTTATTTACTTGGCCCAGGCCAAGTTTGTTCACTGACAAATCTGGTCATCTTTTGACCAAAGCTGCAAAGACTCCGTCGCTTTGATGCTGGAAGAGGACGGCCGTGTAGAGGTCCACTGCGACTCCGGGCTGCGATCAGAAAAACAGTATTATTTCATTTCATATTTCGTAGTTACACTAATATTTCATAGTTACATGAGATGAGGTCAAAATTATCGTATATTGTTTATAAAGCAGGCGGTTGTCGTAGATGGCCAATGCTACCGTTGACTTGTAAAACGATAGGGGACGCTCTAAAGACGA